TCAGAGTAAATGCGATACTCGTTTATTAACAATAAGATAAGGAATATAATGATCTAAATTCACTAGCGAACGTGAATATTACTAACACATAACACATATAACACACCGACTCTAGCTGAAACTCCTGCTGCTTATATATCTTTCGAGCGGTCTAATTGAACTATTTTTAGCAGCTACTTCTAATATTCTATTGATAATTGAGCTGTATACATCTGAATAATTCGAAGCATTTCCGTTAGTGACTTTTCACTAACCGTACTGCCAGTGCCGAAATGTTCGTTACACCGTTAGTGATTTTTCACTAACCGTATTACCTAACATTAATTTGTACCTCCGACAGTGTCCGTACTACCCATACTGAAATCCGCAGCTGCGCTGGTGTTACCGCCGATTGATTTGGACTGCGGCACCGCTGGAGAAACGCAGAAATAAGGAGAGAATACGTCATCGATTGCGGCGCATCACAAATGCTTTTGCTTTGTTGTGTTGTGCAATACCAATGCTTAATTCAAGAGCACTGACATCTTCTTGGACATCCAATAGACAATTACCTTCAGAATATACATTTCAGGTTTACCATGTAAATATGGAAATTGATGACATGTGGATGATCAACTTTGTCCCTAATGGTCACAAAATGGATGAATCATTAAAAGTCAAATATCCCTTGCAAAGTTATCCCAATGTGAGTGTTGCTCACATTTTTCACAATTCCTTATGCAATGAATTTACCATCAACTATTTTGACAGTGGAAACGAAAAGCAAACAGTCATTAAATCTGCTTAATATTAACATTGTTTATATGTATTAATAAACAAAGTATTATGAAAATCAATTAATGGTGTAATAGTAAATTCTTCATAAGATGTCAGATGTTTGCGTAGGCCGAGTCACAGTATTTACGGTACTCTTCCTTAGTCTGTTAATATAGTAAGCTGCGATATTTCACCTAAGGGACGTAGTCCAGTCGTATATTTATTTAAGCTCTACACTAATACTATATTGCCATTCGGCATGGACAGGCTTTCGGTAAATGTGTTCTTTAAGTATTAGGTTACCTCCGTTGCTATTGACCTGACCAATTACAATTGTAAGAGTCAAAATCGTTTATATTTATACACATTCGTGGTAATATAAATAATTAGAATAGTTATTAAAATAGACATCTATACTTAAACTTCGTATTAGTATGTAATTGATGTTGTACGATCAAATATTCAAAATTGATATAATTAAATTGAAGGGAATCAACATGCGTCATATCACAGAATAGTTGATGCTTGTGCTCAATGTAAAACAAAAAGCATAAAAAGGCATGGGTATAATATAATAAAACAAGTAGTGATTCATTCCAGTATAAATGCACGAGTACGTCAGTAGTAAGTTTTCACCCAATATACACGTATATGTAGTGTAACGGAGAAGTTATCTCAAATTCGCAGAGGTTACAGCTAAAAAAATGCCTTCTACTCTACAAAGTGTGAAAGTAATTCGGTAAGCAGTGTAGTAATTCGGATATTAGCTAACAAGATGTTTTTATTCATCACAAAGCAAGCGCACGATTGTTTTTGAGCAAGATGCCTATGCCAACTACCCAATATCAGAAAACAGGAAAAGAAAGGGCTCGACATTGTGATTTGGAGGACAGGATAACATCACCCGCGATTATTGAGCAACATGCCGCATCCGTTGTATTCAAGCGAGAATGATACCAAGTTCGAGTAAGCACCTGCAAAAAAAAAACTTCGTCTTCTTCCTCAATTTCTCGATTTTCAATACGTATCTTTTGCACCGGCTTTTAAATTCGGGATTATTACTTGAAAATGTTGGCATCGATTGATTCGATCCCATAGTTGTTACCCACCCCAGTGTATTCACGACAACCACTGAGACTAAGGCATTCATTAGATTTACAGGATTTATTGTGGCATTTGTATTAAATAAAGATACACTAGTTTACAATAATGTGATACAGAAAGGTGAAACCTCTTTAAAAAAAATACAAGGATAATATCTAAAACTGGCTAAACCTATGACTATAAGCAGCATCAAAATATGGATCTTGTAAAACTTCTTGCATAGTCGGTCTCGCGCTCGGATTCCTATCTAACATCGATGTAATTAATCGGGCTGCATCCTCATCTTGAATTTCTCCATCAACCGGGGAAAGGACCGGTCGTTTCAAATCTTGCTCTGTCTCGAACAAAGGTCTTCTGCGAGTTATGTAATAAAATATACAGCCAAGGCTGAATACGTCGGCAGAATATTCTGCGACGACGTGGTTTTGAAAAAGTTCCGGTGCAGAAAACCCGGGTGTGAGGTGATGGTCGAAATACATTTCAGCGGCTTCGGTTCCGGCAGGTCGTGCAAACTCAAAATCACATATTCGAATTTCCCTAGAGGTTCTGGATTCAAATATTATGTTTGATGGTTTCAGATCTAGATGCTATAAATTTATCGTCAGTATCAGTTCATAAGCATCAATAGCAATTATAGTAAATACATACTACAACACCCTTCTCATGAATGAAGGCTACGGCCTTACAAATGGACTCGAAAATAGGCTTGAATGCGGTCTCGGCTGCATATCTATCCGCTCCAGCTAACAGCGATTTCCCGTCGTAATACTTGGTGACAGATACATATCCGTTTAAACCCTGCTCGAAGCTGTAACCCTTCCATTTAACTATGTGACTGCCCCGCAATTCGTCGAGGTACTTATTTTCATTATGCCAGAGGCTCATGCTGTTGAACAATTTGACTACTACAGCGACTTGTTCGCAGTAGTGGATGGCCAAATATAACCTGTTCCTATGTAAATTATGCTGCGGATCCACTGATTCCCGTGGAAACTCCAAAGGTGCCTGTATTCTGTAAAGTTTACAAGCCAAACTCCCAATGGCACTTTCCATAGGTTGTTGAAATTGCGTATTATATGAACTATTAGTGTTCATAGTGTCCGTCCTGTAAATAAACGCTCCGCTAGTAGGAGACACTGGATTACTGTAACTGGTTGATTGATTATCTAATGGTCTGACTTCTGGCGATGGTAGACATATCTGGCTCGCCGTCGGTGATGGCAACGTGCTATGGTCAGGCGAACTCGTGATGGGAATGTTATAGCCAGAGTGGGACATAACGGGCCGAGTCCCTGGATTGTGAATAATTTGAGAGTGAGTTAATATAATTCGAGGCAATTTGCTATATCCATTTATGTGCAAAAAACATTGTTCACCTCTGCGATCAATAGGCACGGTAGTACTTCTGAGCGTCGTTCTTGAAGTTTCACGGCTCAGAGAATAGTCGACATCATTGTTCGGATAACCAACCGGTTCGTCTCTAAGCCTGTAGCGCATGCTGTTGCTTGCTGATGACATCGTCCTTTCATTATTCGATGGCCTTCGGAAACCTACTCCAGAGTCTTCTGAAACGTTAACATCCATTGAATAAGGAGGCATTGTCATATGCCTCTCTGGCGGGCCAAAAGAATAGCATCTGTCATCCCCGAGAATCGCATCCCAAGTTGCCAGTTCGTGAATAGATAGTTCAATTTCGGCAACGCCCGCAGCCCCACCAGCCTCTAGAAACTTTGCTTGACCAACTGGACAAGAGATAAGCACGTCAATTCAAACTCCAGAGTCGTGATAAAAGCGCCCAATACTGAAAGTAACAAACTACTTACTATTAACGCCGCGACCTAGTTCAAGTCATGAATGTTTTGTTGTAAACTTTTAACGTAATGTTGACAAATATTACAAATTTACTACCGAGGCGAATCTTACCATCAGCAAACGAACCCTTGGAAAGTTCAGACCAAACGGCAATATTTGAAAAAATATGAACAACAGTCCTAGAAGTAGGCTTGGCCACAGGGTTTGTCTTGCATTTGACTGTCAGCACGACATCCCCAGAAGCTACCAAGTCCATACAGATCAGACGTGTCCACTTCCGATCGGATACTTTCCAGAACGGATAAGTTGTATACGTCGACCCTGGTTCATGATCGCCAGGGTCTGATAGAGAAAACTCTAGATGCGCATCGTGTCGGATCATCCTATGGCTGAACGAAAGAAATCAAGAATTGAGGGAGATCCGCGGCAAATCCACAATAGGCCGAGAGCACAAGATACGTCTTAATACCTTTTAACATTGCGGATGACGGCCATGGCAATACGATGTCCTTTTAAATCCGATGCCAATACATCCTGAGCAAGAGTCCGTGGGGGACCTGGAAGCATAAGAACCATCTGGAATCGAACTTGACCGACTATTTCACCATGACTATTTAAATTTTCAACAACTAAATTTTAAATACGTAATTTAGCATTTCATGCGAATAAATATAAATCGTAATGGCTTTATACACTTACCGACAACGGGAAATAAATCATTCAAAATACGATATTTGGTGAGGTCTACTCTACATTCTCCCATAATTGCATTCATCCCTCTCTCGTTGGCATTGAAGCAAACCACAGAGAGAATAGTTGATGTTGGAGGATATACCTCTAACAACATATGTTCAAACCACTGCGCCGATTTCGCTTCATCTCTATAACGAACAGCGTAAATAATTAATTGACTATCGCTCAAAGTATATCTTGCACTGGAACTGCGAATTCCAAAGGTTCTGCAAGCTAATACTCACAGGGAGACAGTTATTGTTTCGAGCTTTCGATTGCCTAATTCAAATGTTGCTGATATCTTTGCCCTATTGTGAAACAGCCCAGCAATTCCCTTCTTTTGTTTCGGTGCATTCTTGAGACCACTAAGGTTATCAATATTTTGGTTAGAACAGCATTTTACTGCAATTACTGGAGGATAATTAAACATACATTTCAATGTCTCTAAGAACCACGATCCCAGCTGCTTTACGTGAGCTGCTATCACCCTCCAGAGAAGCGTTGCCGAACGAATTTTGATGAACCATGAAGGTGCTCATCTCTACTTGCCAACGAGAAGAAAGACCAAAGACGTGCTCATTAACATAACGAATATTCGGGCACGTGATGACAAGCTGCGTATTAGTGTGCCAGAGATTATCAGTGTACCCAAATAACATAATTCACTGTGTTACGGTTAAATAAGACACAGTAATAGTCGCCCATACTTAACAATTAAGAAAGTGAACGCTATACTCGCGCTGATGTGTGATGTTTCTCGCAAAAGAATATAAAGAGCATTCTGTTCTAGATTAACTAAACTTTGTGATCTACGAAATACGCAGATCTGATTATTTGACAGCGATAACTTAAAATCGATATTTTGTTAATAACCTCCTTCAATTCAGTGTTTACAGTATCGTGCATAAAGTTTTGTTCACATTCTAGTTACAATGGGCGTAACATGATCCGTGTCAACAAAAAAGCATCTTTACATTGCGATGCCATCGACGGTTTGTAAGCGAGGCAAGGCAAAAAAAAACTATGAATCCCAGTTAAAGAGAATAAATAGCCTTGTGTTACAGCTGTCCAAAATGGCAATAAAACAAAAACGACCAATAACCCGATTTGGTAGAAAAAAGAATATTCGATAGTAGCGATTATTATGACTAAAAAAGTTCCATTCGAGATGCTATTGTCAAATAGTGGCCAATAAATTGACCGATAAAACTTTGTTAAAATATTTATGTCTCCATTACTATTTTACGATATGAAAAGTTTCCTTCATATTTGTTATTTCTGAGGCTTTAAACATGCAATACAGTGGTGTGGAAGAAATTCCATTTGCATACTGTCAGGGTCAACGAACTTCTATAAACATAATACGTCAACGCATGGTCGTTGACATACAATTTACCTATGCTGTTGTTACTCAATTTTATGTACTAATTTGTCATCATTATTTATTATACATATATTAGCTTCTCTCAAATGTCACAAATGTAGGTCAAGAATTAGTAATAAGTAAAACACAAATATGTGGACGTATATACCACTGAATATAGTTTCGAGTATATATCGAACATCTTGAGAAACTTGTGTGCGATGAAGGGTACTATTCAATTTAAATCAATTGACAACTGATACGATTGATTATCCTGGTGCTGTAAAAAGCTTAACCGAGTTAATTGCCAATGAGTGTTCGTTAACCCGATGGGTAACATAGCAGAAATAATAAATGCTCTTATGTATTGCTACTAGACATTTGACGCATAATAGAGTTTAGGATGATTACACAAGAACGACCGCCATAAGAGAAAGACGATGCGTACTTTCAACCTGGACAATAATAACATCCCAGTCAGATATGTTAAATCGCCTTGATTGTTTTGATAATGGCATACGTATAGTCCCGAAATTTGTAATGCTTCAATTTTAGCTTCAGTAGAGTTTTACGGTACGCAGGTGAACGGACAAGAGTTGCAGATAAATCCGTAAGCGGTTGCGGATGTTTTACGGCATTAACTAATCTTTTACATAATCTCCATTTTTTAGTTTTCCATTTGGCTCAATTACTGTACTTAATCTCCATTCTTAGTTTTCCCATTTGGCTCAACTTTGTTTGATACCTTATCAAATATTAATCCTTTGTGATCTGGCTTGTATTGTTTCTGGCGATAGCACTTATTGTAAATATAAAATATCCATTTTTTTCGAATAAACCCACGTAACTGATCTTTTTCATGTATAATTTCACATATAGGACATCGGTTAGACAATTGTGCTTGAAAACTAATAAATCCGTTTTTGACTTTCCCAATATTAAGCCACTTGTACTTTTGAGCGACTAAATTAGCGCCCTTAACCAACGCATTTTCATCTTCGATAGGTTGGGATTCCGCTTTTGTTGGCTTTTCGTCTGAAAAGGTCGTGGCCAAATTTCGTAACAATCCAATTTTGGTTGGATCAAATAATATTCTAATCGGTTAGCATGTCTTTTTACACGTCCTTCTTTTGCTGATCCAAGAATTCGAAGACTAAATCGCGATTTAGGAAGCCCGACATCAATAAATTTGGATAGGGTTTTCCAAACAATTTAATAACTTCTTTTGTAAAGCCTTGAAGTTCTCTATAATCTACAAATCGAGCATATGGAAATATGATATGCCAACTACATTTGTTCGCATCGGACAAACTAGCCAAAGCAAAACATTCGCGCGATGCATAACTTCTTAAGTTAGTATAAATTACATCTATAGAAGCATGGAAATTAAATCTAATTAAGGAAGATTAGGATTAATCGGGTCAGGTTTTTGTATATCAAATATCGAGTATTAACCGCAGTGGTTTGTTTCCATCAATGATTTGGTTTTCCATAAACTTCAGAAGGATAATCAATTAAAGCAAAGCTTTTGCTTGCCGTTCGAACAATATATTTAGAATTAATTTCTTTTGGATAAAAAGCTTCAAGAAGTGAAAATTTTTTTTCTTCCAAAGAGAATTAGAAAATTTTTTTATTATACATTTCATTGTCGTAGTATTCATCATCATAGTACACATCGTGATAATCATTAGTATAATGTTTGAAAATAAAAATGGTTTATATTACTCAAATTGTAATCAAGATCCGTTAAATCCTGAAATTTAATTAATGGTTTCATAACCCTTGTCATTATTAAAAGAATCGTTTTGAGATTCGACTGAAAGATCACGGGATTTTGCGTATTCTAGTAAGAGTCTTTCAAACAAATCGTTATTCTCTTTTTGTTTAGAAGTAACGGTTTTATTATTTATCTCGGACACTACATGTTCTGCTTTGCGGAAGGATATTTTATTAAGATATCCTTTAGACATTTTGTTGGTCGAGTAATGTAATATATGCGCTGATTTATTAAGTTACAATAAAAGCGACAAAAAGTTCAATTCGAAAAATTATTATTTCATATTGAAAGCAATTAATTACAGTTATAGTAATGGCATTCCATTCATGACCACATATTTACATCAATGGACGCGTTTGCGGAAAACTGCTATCGGCAAGAAGATTGTGCCCTTCGTTGGAAAATGCGATCATTGCTTTCCTTGTGGCAGAGTGTGGCTCACCAACCGCTTCTGAATACGGTATGTGTGTACAACACGTCAACAATTCAATATCTTTAACCAAATTTCCCCACCATCAAAATGCGTTTATATAATTTTTGATTCCAGAGAATGTAGAATCGTCCCATCAGCACGTTGCAGAAAATGCTTACCTCTAAAGCTGCTCAGCCAGGCAATGATTTGCGACTCTGGTAATTTGAAAATGATTATGATTGAGTATAATAGTAGATGAAGAGGAAGTAAGGAGTGAACATGGAGAGCGTGGAGGAGTAGAACGCCAATGAGGAATGATGATAGGCGGGAAGAGCAATTGAGAATCTTGCGTATACGAAATCAATAGTGAATAGTAAAAGCCTGGTTAAAGGTCACAAACTGCCACCTGTTTGAACAAGTTAATGCCAAACCGATTACTCTGCCGTGGTAGTTAGCTTGACAAAAATCCAAATAAAAGTTGCAGGCATCAATACTATCTGTATTATAGTGCTGGGATCCTCTATTAGGTAGTTTACATTGGACGTCTTTATTTAAAGACAGTCACTCAATAAGCATTGTAATTAGACAACTCATAACACATACGACCTTATTCCGCGCTAATTTACTACTTGTCTTCTCCCTATAATGTCCCACAACAGCTCGCCCACTCTACCCACTCTTATCCCTTGTTATGGTTTTCAAATATGTCCCTTCGTTGCTTCTTGGCGATTTCGGTTTCATTAAAGTGCTTCTGATGTTCATATTCAAGCATTCGTCTTTCTGCCGTGATTACCGTTGCTGCTGTTACAGCTGAAAAATGGAATGAATGGAAACGATGGTGAATATATGGGTCCAAATGCAATCTATGATTACTTGGGAGAAGAATATTTCTATAACGCTAGATACAAAAAACAATTATAAGCTGATTACTCACCAGCAACGACGAAAGATGTCTAGAATGTTTTTAATATCATTCAATAGCGAAGCATAACATTCATCAGTCATCCTATGCCTACCCTTCCCGTTGTTATTTATCCCTTTTACTATTTTCAAACGCATACCTTTATTGGCAGAGTTAATTTGCGATAAGCAGGTGAGAACCCCTGCGCCAGTCCTGAACAAAGCCCAGCGAATATAGCCATTTTTGCTCCTCCAACTATCCCACCACGTGTAGCTGCTTTGTACATATGTCGCGTGTCTTCTTCGTCAGGTATGCGCATGAGTAGGGCTGGGAAGTGTGCGAAGCAACGGCAAAGTATAAGCGATTAGCAGGGATAATGCATTAAATAATAAATATGTAATAGTAAAGTTTGTCATATGATCGCGGAATTAATCATAATCATAAAAAATACCATCTCTTCAGCATGTTTAGAAATCTTAATACAACCTTAGACGGTTATCCTTTACACTGGAATGAGGTTAACACATATTAATATCGGCAAAGATCTAAAATAATCATCCGATCTGCATTTAAGACGGGTACAAAATATAGTGGCTATCGTCCTTTTCTGATACGTAAGTTTGAAGCTAATTATTGTGCTCGTTGGAAAAATAATGATAAATTGAACCATGCTAGACTGAAGTCAAACATCATTGATTCATTGTGTAACGATGCGTGATGGCAGTATGAGTCGCTAATAAATACCCCCAACATATCGATACTGACGATCAATTAGTAAACCATATTAATATGAAAAATCTTTTCTTCAAAGAGCTTTATTGTACGAATTTACTATGTAAGTCACAACGATTTTTGTACCGATTTGAAGATAATTGGGTGTACTTTTCAAGAAAAATGATATATTTAGTCCCGTTCCGTTCTGAAGCTGCATTTCGATGAAGTGGAAGTATCTAGTCGTGTACCGCATATTAGTGTGGAGGGCCGGAATGTTCGCTCTTAATTCTTTTGCCATTATGTGGTCGATAGACCGTGTTGTAAGGCTGGTTCATTCTTACGCGGGCCAGACACGGAATATATCTATACGTTAGCCGCCGTAATTGAGTGTAATATGGGCCGCCGAGAGTAAGGCCTTATGGTATGTGTGTCTAATGTAGTTGAGACGCGTTACTGGTATTGTATTGTCGTGTCCGTGTTTGAAGAAATGGGGTCTCCATTAAATATGACAGATCAGCTTTCAAATGAGAATTTAAAAATGCTTGAGGATCAAAATTAGTAAATTTATATGTTGTATTACTATAAATGTAAATCACCATGTGTTCTGTTCGTCTCGCGTTTTTTACTTTCTCCCAGATCATTTTCCCAGTGCGAAAGAAACGAAATGGTAATTATCGTTATTGTGATTACTATTATGCCATTAAATTCAACGAACATTTCAAATTGCCATTACTATGATGCAAAAAAACCATTACTATTGCTATTAGTATGGCAATAATTTTATGCTTTTCACTGTCAATACATGAAGAGATTTCACCCCTGCAGCAGTATATTGCGGGTTTCCCATTACTCCGTATAATACCGTTAATGCACTTGTCCCTAAAGTTGAGACGTAGAAATAAATAATTAGTTGCGAATATGCCATTCACTATCACAAAATCTAGCATTGGAGAGACAGATAATGTCAGTTTGTTACTATTTTGAGTTTTTCGTCCTTTTATCATGTAACTACTTGCTGCTACAAAATGTGATTTTACGAGTGAATATCACTATTAACGACCTCAAATCATGTGGTAAATGGGGTCTGGTGATAAGTGCGATAAACAATGTGTCACGTGAAACGGTGAAATAAATGCAAAAACAGGTGATCATCTTCAAAGGAATTGGAATCGTGAAAACTCTTATCGATAAATAGACCGCATGAACAACCAGTAGAATTATAGTTGAGTATGTTAATCATCAATTGACATATTATTTGTTATTAGTACTGAGACTTCCTTCAGTCTAATACTAACATTTCTTAAATCATGTGTTGCACTTGGTTGAAGGGAATTTTTAACGATCGTAATTGTTTATTTCTCAGATAATTAATATGTCAACCATTTCTGTAGCAAATCTATAATTACAGATTGTAATAACGACAAGAAAACTGAGTATGTGCATAAAATATCAATACATGACATTAAGGACGATTTTGAGTTTGCATAACGATCAGCTTGATTTTTCGTGTTTGAAACGAGTGAAAAGCGCGCATAATAATTAATAGGTCACTTGAGGCTTAATTCAGTCTTAATCGTAGTACGGGCGATAGTACGAGCTAAGCCTGGTAACATCCCTCGGTCGGCGAACACACCTACGCGAAAGATAAATCGCTCTCCCGAAACCCCATTTAATTCCCGACCGTAACAGCCTCATAAGCTTTCATTATAATCTTCAATCAAAAACCAACACTTCGTGTGTGCAGATAAGTTGATTGTCTTCAATGTTCCATAGTGTAATATGCAGTTCACAAAAGACACTACGTTTAGGCGGGAGCGATTAATAAATGAAGAGGTTTATTTAGATGAATGGGAGGATGAGTGTGCCATGTCAAAAAGTTGCATGCCATATTATAACGTATCACATAAATCCGTCATTCGACTAATGACTGGTGTTATGACTCGCGAAACGCATCATATTTAGTCCGCTGCAAGTGGATGGGTTACGCGATTAACATTTCTCCCTGGACGCGGTAGTCCGTGAACTCGACTTAATTCTCAACATTTAGCTTACGGGGACAGATAGACAGATACTTCATTTGATACGTGACAGAGAAAGTACATCAATTGTGCCGCTTCGTTTAAGGGAGATTACAATGCAATACTACCGATAATGGAGAGCTAATCTATGGGCATGTTCCATTCAAAATTTCTACTAACAAGGAGTATATGGAACCCATCAGGTGAAATGGCGAGTGCAGCAGACAGTAATGGGTCTGCGAAAGTGAAAATAAGAGAATTAGCAAGGGAACATGAAAAAAAGAATAAAGAAATTTTGGGACACTTAACTAATGACGAGGAAGCTCTCCTTTTATTAAAAATAATAATCTATATCTGTGCCGCATTTATTGTAACAATTAACTTATAATATCAGCCCTGTAATTTCCTCGGAACTTGTTCGTCACAAGCTAATTATGTGAAATTGGGAATACACATCACGAATGCAAGACCGCTTCTTTGAAACCATCATTGGTATAATCTAACGGAGTCAATTGGTCATTATCTTCGAGCGATGGGTCAGATCCGCATTTGTATAGATACTGAGCCACTGCCCGATGTTCCGATATACAGGCTACGATTTGAAAAATATGTCAATGTAAAAGTTGCATTAATTGTTATACCTTTAACAGTGAGCTTACCAAAATGTAATGGATTCTCATTTTCATTAGTCTGGCCATTTGATAACAGATATTTAATGTGAGAAAACGGCTTGTGCGAATAATAATACTAAAGAACGTCATCGAGTGTAATTACCAGAATGTTGACATTCGCATTGTTTGCAATTAAAATTTTTACAATGTCAAGATGTCCTCTATCTGCAGCCCAGTGCAATGGAGCAAATCCCTTTGAGTACATTGTATTTGCTTTCAGTAACAGTACATGTTAGGAGATATCACCAAGACACATGTATTGACTTACCTGCGCATCTTTTGCATTAATGTCTATAGTATTTGACTTTAATAATTCTACAAGTTCTGCGGAATTGTTCGTCTTGGCAAAATAAAATATATCTTGTCTGCTATGCAATATCAATTACAGCGTTGTGTATCAATTTGACAGATATTGATCCACAATTTGCCAGAACGAAACTACTCACTCTAATTCGTCATTGTCTTCCTCTTCATCCGATGCACAAGCTAGTGTAGAAACAGCAACTCCTCCGATCCTTGCTCGTTCTCTAGATTCCTATAATGTTGGCATAGTTTAGTCTATGATAAGTTACCGATTACGATTAAGCAAGCTTATTTATCCTAATCGAAAAATAGTCACACTTGAATTCGAGCACCTTATTCTTGACCTCGTCTGCTCCTGCTTCCCAATTAACATCCCATCCAACATTTAAAGACTCGAGCAATTCTATATATTTCCTCATTGCTTCTTCTTTGTCCAATTCATCAACTGCTTTCCATGCGTTCCATTTTTCTCGTCCTACAAAGTCAAAAAAAGAAGGCTTGGAGGCAGTGCATTTGCCTATTGTGGCGGTCTTATAATATCCATAAAACTAGAACCAGAAAGTTTAAAGGCATTATATGTTAATAAAAGATTCGGTAGGTATTCTCGACTACAAAAAGCCAGAAACGTTGAATGAGGGTCGAGCGTCTATTATGCAATGGATCAAACTACTTCTTAGCCAACCGCACATCTTGATCTCACCTTGAGTTTTATTGTATCATCTAATGCCGATGATGACTGTCCAAGGAATTTGCAGGCAGATTCAAAGTCCTTTGCAAGTTGGTCATCTGCTGACATCGTAAACTATAGAATTATGATAATGTTTGGGCTACCATCATCACAAGGAATGTCACGAGAGCATTTGCCTAAAAAGGATATGTTTCAGTGCTATCATTAACTATGAACTAATAGTTGCAAGTATGTGACCTATTTCATGAACCATGTTAACATTGGTATCTGCAGCGTTAGCACATCTCGTTTCTACACTTTATCATGTGAGTATCATCGATAAATATATAACTATCATTCGATGCGATGCAGACACAATGCAAGATATTTTTATTAAAACCTTCTCGACGATGATAAAACAAATCCCTCGTGTTGATTAAAATAAGTTCGTGTTGCGTAACAAAATTCCCAACGGAATGGTAGTAAAGACTCATTAAGTTATAGTTTATTTATACAATTTTCGGTATTAAAGCTTATACCTGGACAATTGATGCGCAGGCATATCTGGTAGCTGTCATATAAAGTTAATTAGTATTAAGACTATTAATTACAAATACGTGCACGAAACCGTACTTACTGTTTAGCATATGAATAACAATCGATCGATTCAGCAATCCCTTAGGGGAACCATCAAATTGAAGAAAAGGATCGGTATATGTCGTAAACGCAACCGCTCCATCGTCCGACACCAACTTGCCGTATTTGCCGCTCAAGTCACCGGCTTGACATAGACTCTTATCTTGGACGGCCGAACAATTGAAAGTATTTGGGGCAGCTATAATCACATGACAAAGAACAGAAGACTCGTAAAAATACCGCCCGATACGAACAGTGATGCAACCATAGCTACTACGGAAGAGAAAAAAAAGAATTCTTACTAGTTAAGTCAATATGGTCACCAACGGAGAATGGTCCACAATCGCCAATATCTGGCACTGGTTTCTCATGGACGTGATATGGGAATGGACCGAATTCGTCTGGCAAACCATCCGAAAATTCAAGCGAAACATTTATGCCGTTGTCGGTTTCTTCAAATTTGATGAACCCGTCAATGTTCTTTGAACCTGGTTTACCCGATTCGAAGATGGCAGCGAGTTTACCCTGTGATGGTAAGGCCAAGACTCCTACAGCAAGAGCAAGCACGAATAAAACTGTGAAGGTCTTGGTCATTTTGAATTTCGTGATGAATTGCTGATTGAATGGGCAGAAAAATGTATGAGCAAAAGGTTCGAGAAGTGAATAGACGGGGTTGATTCGATATGCGCTTAGTCCCTGTTTGTCCGAAAGTCGATATTTGATATTGCCATTCCAATATTTACCTCGCGATAACCACAATACAATGACTGTAGGGAAGGCTATCTGCCTAAACATGCTATTTATATATGTTTCTATTATTACCTAAATATACCAAACAAAATGTTAAAATAGGAATATTTTATTCTGGAACGTTTATTGTCCCTCTATGGATCAAACATACCGCCATAAGGTTGCACATTCATTCATCTATAAGTACTCGTTACTAATAACAACATTAATTGCTCTGAGCCTTATTGTATGTCGAAGGTAACAATCTAAAAAGATTTCGAGGACTTTGCATCACGTCATGGACTATTCGTTTGATGCATGATGAAATAGCGGGCAAGTATTCGTTTGATGCAAGCAAATTTAAATCTAAATTAACAGCCGGTGAAAGAAAACAGTGCTCTTGTAAAGTTTAAGTTTGTGTCATCAACCTTATCGGAGGCACTTTTTTCTAGTAAAGCAGTATTAGGAAACGCTATTCCAAAACGGATCACCCAATTCTTTAAGATAATCATATATCCGATAATGACTGCTGTTTTATATTCACTCTCGGTTAATCAAGGGAATGTATCTTTAATAGTTTTCAGGGTTGAAACATTATGATCGACTTTCACACTTACAATTAATACTGATAAAAAGATAACAAATTTTGGTGGTGTATCAACAGTTCACCTCAATCGCTTTGTACTAGCCCACGGACAGTCTACCTTGTCTATGGCTCCGGAAACTCCGAACCTCAATGTCGTGCTAGGGGATACGAGCGCTACTTACTAATACGCCTTTCAACTTTAACTATAAATAATATGGCGCATGATGAGCTCTTCGAATCGCAAATATGCCTGTTTATTAATAGACATTGCTGTACTACATAACCTATTTATCCATCGCATCTAAAGCTCGAAATAAATTATCCAAATTAGAGGGTATAGAGAAAAACTAATCCGTAAAAAACTAATCTGTAAGAACGATAGAACAGATGATGCAGAACAAAAGTTAAGGTTTAGATTTTTTAACCAGCTAAAAAAGTTTTAGGGATTTGATAGAAATTTCGGATACACATGAGGCTTTTAACCTTATTTTCGAATTCCAAAGAATAATAATACCAATTTAAAATTTGTTTCTGACCTGATTTAATTGCTTTATCAAGTAAGTCTGATAAACTTTGCACGAACCCAGAGCCATATCCTCATCATTATTTGAATATAAAGGATTGATTTCGGAAGAAACAATATTTTCTGCTTGATCATAGGTCATCTCTTGTATTAAATCTTCTACGATTTGATTGTCTGATTCAAGTATTTCAGAGATACTGTAGTATCAGAATTGTTAAGATCGTGACATTTTGTCACAGTTTTTGCATCACATAATGATAAGGATGTTATTGTTTTTTTCAGATCCCGTTTAAGCATCCTGATTAACTAAAGATAGGTCTTGATCCTGAGAAGCGGAAGCTTCATTACTATGTAATAGCTTTTTCCCCATATTCCTCTGCCTTATCTCTTTTCTTATTTTCTGAATCTAAAAAGACACCAATTTCTTTATCTTCTAATGATTTAGATTTTCCGGAGCAAGTTTCATTAAGGTTAGAAGTATTGGAAATTGTGTTAACTACCTGTTCTGAAGTTACTAAGTCAGTGCTAGTCATGGATTGCTCCACTTTGTGGTGAGTTGAAGAATCTTTAATCTGCACATTTTCACCATTTGAGCAACTTTTGTTAGGTAATGGAGTGGAATATTCCAAAGATTTTAAATCATTAGTAACTGGTCGATTTTGCTTTTCGATATTCTTAACAGCTCAGTTTAATTTTGCAATTTCATTCTTGAGCTCAGCATTTTCTGTTTGACTTAACTTTGTAGCCCGTTCTAATTCCACAATTCTAACCTCAAGCTCATCTTTTTCTTTCACGATCTGTTCCAATTCATTGATTCTAGCCATAAGTCTGGTGTTCTCCTGTTTCAATAAATCATTTTCGGATTGCATGTTTAACGATAACTTTTATTCAAATATTATTTATAAAAACCATGACATTTTGTCATCGGGATTATACTTCTTATTGTCTTATTGCGAATCACTTATCTAGAATACACAAAATGCAGTAATACTTAGCAAAAATTGTATTGTGATTGTGGATTTTGTGATGTCTCAATTAATATTCTGAAAATGAAATTAAAACTTTAAGCAATTACATTACTTGCATTTTTATTACAATAATTGCATGACGTTTTGCTAAACAGTTACAGTTGGTATGTAGTTCGCATTGCCCTAATTATCTATTTTAACTACGATAATTTTCATGTTACCTTTCTTTATTGGACTTGATAAAAGTGTACCAAACAATCCGGATTGCTCCTGTAAACCGGGATTTTTCTTTTGTGTTCTCTATGTAAACGTGAGTCAGAAAGTGAGACACCATTTGTGTGATCACAAATTATTTTCAACGTAGACTGAAATAATATGAACATAATAGTGAGATCTTGTATGTACCAAACTGCAACAATAGTAAGCATATATTACCTTGATGTCCGACATAGTAGCATAAAAGCCTTCAAGAATGCAAGCGTTTTTAAAGTATTGGGCATCTTTTTCTGAGAAAGCCTTCCTAAGCA